TCAGCCTCTTTAGCATTTCTCGAATTGCCCCCTATTCTGGAATCGGCCCTTTAGTTGGTTCTCAATAGAAGAAAGCCTATCCTATATGATAGCGAACATTTCATCTATCTGAGATCTGATTTGACTCATCTCTTCATCTAATTTCGTCTTTAAATCTTCTACTTTCTTGGTTGTCATTCATTCCTTTCATTTTCGAAACATGTATGTCGCGATCTTGTAATTGGTTTAAATCGGGTCCGTAAAAATCTGCTTGAATCTCGAGGCTTCCCAACAAGCTTAATTCGTCAGTCTTCACAGGAAACGAAAGGTCCATCGTCGCCTTCCCAACAAGCTCTTGTTGCGACTGTATTGTTGTCTTCACCCTCCTGTACGTCGTCTGACTTGGTCAAGAAGGTGTTTCTTGTGTGTTGCGATCCCGCCGACCTTCCCTGTAAGCCACGATCCTGCCAGTCTTCCTCGCAAACACCAATCACAACTGCCTTCCTGAGGACGGAGTGGGTGGAAGAGATCCAAGGAAGTTTCGGGTCTCTGCAAGCTGCGATTCCGGGTCTTGCACGAGACTATACGTGTGAAGGGGGAGGCAAATGATGGGAGCTTCATGTCTCTCTTCGCTGCGATCCTTCTCCACAATTCTTCGCATCGACTCCTTCACAGCTAGCTCTGACCCTCTACGATCCTGTGATCTCTTTCCCAACAAGCTCGTAGTGCGACTGTATCACATGGTTCCTTCATGAAGGAGTTTCAGATTCGGTAAGAGGCGATCCTTCGTGTAGAAGCCTTCTCAGTGTGCAGCGATCCTGTGGTGGCCTCCCTGCTAGCAATTTGTATCACAGGATTTGGTCATGAAGGGATCCCATCGACGCTTATGAACTAATTCTCATGCCGACAACAACTGTTTCTCACGCTGCTAGCGGTTTCGTGGTGATCTCTCCCAAACTCGTACTTTGATACCAATTTGATACGATCCGATCTCAAAGTAGGCACAATTGTCCATAGAAATTGGGGCAAACACAATAATTTCTCAAATAACTCAATAAGAATACAAAGATAAACACCTGCAATTCGAGAAGTAGGTGATCTCTCCTAATTCCTACAAGTCTGAGTAGGAAATCTCTTCCAAACCTTAGACATAACAAGCCTATTTATACCCAACTATAATAATAATAAAAGATTAAATTGCTCTTCGACATACAAAATACAAATTTGCCCCATAGGCTAGGCGCCAACATACAACAACAACAACAACAAAGTCTTAATCCCATTACGTGAGGTCGGCTACATGAATCCTTTTTCTCATTGCGTCCTATTTAGTGTCATATTTTCATTTAGTTCTAGTAAATTAAGATCATTTTTTATATAATAAGCCCAAGTCTTCCTATGTCTACCTCTATCTTTCTTAACACAAGTCGAATCTAAAACATCTACTCTCCTAATCTGATCATCAAATGGTCAAAGTTTATTGTGACCAAACCATCTAAGACGACTTTCTCTAATTTTTTCCATCACAAGAGCTACACCAACCCTATCACGGATATATTCATTTCCCATTTTGTCTCTAAGTGTAAAGCCACTCATCCACCTAATCATTCTCATTTCGGCAACACTTAACTTATTATTCTGCTCCACTTTTAAAAGCCAACATTCAATGCCATAGAGCATCGCAGGTCTCACCACCGTCTTATAAAATTTTCCTTTCAGTCTAATCAATACTTTTCTATCACACAAAGGGCCCGAAGCATTTTTCCACTTCAACCAACCAACTTGAATTACATTATTAACATCCCCATCTATATCACCATCACTTTGAACAACGGACTCAAGATATCTAAATCGTTCACACATTTTAATAATTTGATTACCCAAAGTCACACTTCTGTCACTAGAACTATTACTACTAAAATTACATTCCATATATTCAATTTTAGTTCTACTTAAATGAAGGCCTTTAGACTCCAATGTAGAACTCCATAATTTAAGTTTTTCCTGGGCTTTTTCTCTCATTTTATCCACGAGAAGGATATCATCAGCAAAAAACATACACCAAGGTACATCCTCCTGTAGATGTACAGTAAGACCATCCATGACTAAATCAAAAAAATATGAGCTTAAAGCCGATCCCTGATGTGATCCAACAGAAATAGGAAAATATTTGGTCAATCCTCCTTCAGTTTGAACACAAGTAACAAGTCTAGTATACATATCTTTAATGACTTGATTATAAGTCATATCAACACCTTTCTTCTCAAGAACTCTCCAAAGGATATCTCTTGGAACCTTATTGTAAGCTTTTTCTAAATCAATAAAAATCAAATGTAGATTCTCTTTATTATCTCTGAACTTCTCCACAAAAATCTCAATAAATGTATGGCTTCCATAGTAGATCTGCCCGACATAATCCAAATTGATTATGAGAAATCTTTGTAATGTGTCTTAACCTAGTTCAATTACCCTCTCCCATAACTTCAAAGTATGACACATCAACTTAATTCCTCTATAATTTGCACACTCTTGTGCATCCCCTTTATTCTTAAAAATGGGAACCAAAATGCTCTTCCTTCACTCCTTAGGCATCTTTTTAGTTTTTAAAATAATATTAAAGAGTTTAGTAAAACTCCCAAATCTCCTAAATATTTCCACACTTCAATTGGGATATCATGAGGTCCTACAAACTTTCCACCCTTGGTTTTCTTTAAAGCCTCTTCAACTTCTTTTTTACTAATACGACGGTAAAAATGAAACGGTTTATTATTATTCACGATATTAAGATCACTAAGGTTGATCGTATTTTCAAAAACTTCATTTATCAAAATAACTCACCCATCTATGTTGAATATCTTTTTCTAAGAAAAGTATTTTTTGATTTTCATCTTTAATACACTTAACTTGAGCTAAATCTTCACTTTTCTTTTCTCTTTGTCTGGCTAGTTTATATATATATTTTTCACTCTTCTTAGTATCTAATATATTGTAAAGATCATTAAAAGCAGAATTTTTAGCGTGACAGATTGTTCTTTTAGATTCCCTCCGAACCATTTGATATTTTTCCCATTTTTTGATTTTCATCTTTAATACACTTAACTTGAGCTAAATCTTCACTTTTCTTTTCTCTTTGTCTGGCTAGTTTATATATATATTTTTCACTCTTCTTAATATCTAATATATTGTAAAGATCATTAAAAGTAGAATTTTTAGCGTGACAGATTGTTCTTTTAGATTCCCTGCGAACCATTTGATATTTTTCCCATCTCTAAGCTTTTACATTTAGACCAATTTTTATAACATAACTTATATTTTATGTTTTCTTGCACATTATTATTTCACCACCAACTATATTTATTTATAAAATCATTTTTTTTTATTTTCCAAGCACATCTTTTGCTACTTGTTTAATAGTGTTTGTTACTTTATTGCAAATAACATTTGCTTCTTTATTAACATCCCAAATTTTGAAATCTTGAATTTTACTCATAAAAATAATTTTATTTGTAATTTTATTTGTGTCTTATTTGTGTCTTTTAGGTTCCCTCATTTAATTCTACGATGATGAGTCATAGTATTCTTTGTTTTACAACTTTTCATCTTAAAATCTAGAACTAATAAATGGTAATGGGTACTTAAATTCTCACTTGGAATGACCTTACAGTATTTACAATCTCGACAATCTCTTCTTCTCATAAGAAAATAATCAATTTGTGTTTTATTAGATTCAGTTTAAGAAAATAATCAATTTGTGTTTTATTAGATTCACTCTTATAAGTAATAAGATGCTCATCTCTTTTCTTGAATAAAATATTAATAATAACAAAATTATAAGCTAAAGCACAATCTAAAATAGCTATATCTTCTTCATTAGTTACTCTAAAACCGTAGCCACCATGATTATTTCTGAAGTCTTTTACCACTCTACCGACATGTCCATTTAATTCTTCTCCAATAAAAATTCTTTTTCCAAGAGGTATCATTTATATTAAGTCTTCTAAATCATTCCAAAATTTATCTTTAGGAGCATAAGTGTTTATAATATTAAAAAACTTAGTGTCAATGATAATCTTAAGGGCTATAATTCTATCTCCAACTCTATTATATTTTACAACATTATCTTTCAAACTCTTATCTATAATTACACCTACACCATTTCTAGTGAGACTCTTGCCCAAATACCAAAGTTTAAAACTCTTGAATACATAAGATATTAATTTTTCTATGAATCATAATATCAATTAATTCTATTAATTTATCATTGAGAGTGCTTATATTCCAAGATCCTATCCTAATATTAGTTATCCTAATATTAGTTTCATGGACTAACTTATTTACCCGCATTTATCCGTAATGTGAGAACCTTTGTTTATTTGATACTACACATGGACGCCGGTGTAGCTGCCATTGCACACTTTTCACTGTATTCAGGCTATACAACACATCGCTTTCAGGGGGACGCCCTAGCACTTATTATTAAGGATTCATGTCATGATTTTTTTGGATAAATTTTACGCTGACTGTCGACTCCCTGACGCAACCCTCCACTTTTCACATTCGGGCTTGGGTCCGGCAATGACAGTGTTTGAAAAAGTTGAGTTTGAGCTTAAATTTCGTCCCTATGGGTGATATGTGCTTCTCTCACTATAGGATCATTTATGCACTCATTTAGTTTCTTGTCCTTTATCGTTTCTTAGTTTAGTTTGCATTTTAGTTTGCCAGTCTGTTCTATCCTGTTGAAAAGTGATAATTCTTTATTTGAAAATCTATGAAGGTTGGCCTATATGTATTTTTTTTTGTACTTCGTAATTATAAGATAGTTTAGTTTGCATTTTAGTTTGCCAGTCTGTTCTATCCTGTTGAAAAGTGATAATTCTTTATTTGAAAATCTATGAAGATTGGCCTATATGTATTTTTTTTTTGTACTTCGTAATTATAAGATAGTTTAGTTTGCATTTTAGTTTGCCAGTCTGTTCTATCCTGTTGAAAAGTGATAATTCTTTATTTGAAAATCTATGAAGGTTGGCCTTTGGATTTTCGGAGGCATACTGAATGTGGACGCTGTTACTGCTGCAATTATTGGCTTAACAATTCTTCTTATAACTGGGGTTGTTACATGGAAGGAGTGTTTGGGTGAGGCGGTTGCATGGGATACTCTCACTTGGTTTGCTGCACTGATCGCAATGGCCAGTTATCTTAACAAATATGGTCTTATATCTTGGTTTAGTCAGACTGTGGTTAAGGTATGTGGTCCGCTGGTTATAATTTCTATCCTTTCTCTGGTTATGATTGCTTTCCTTCCCTGTTTTGTGGTTCCATCGCAATTTTATAACGCAATTGGTGATCTATTTATGGGCATATAATCTTATATCACGCTGGAAAGCCAAATTTTTTTCTTGGTTGAGAAGTCAGCTTGTATTGAAAATGAAGATGTTAAATACACTCAGAAAAAGCAGGTAAATTTTTGGAGTTAAACAACTACATTTCAACTGATTCTAATGAGTCAAAATTTTGGATGATGAAGCATCAATTATTTTGAATAACTTTCATTTAAATGTTGGAATCATTTGAAGTTTGCTTGGATTAAAAATGAGAGGCTTGGGTTCATGTTTTTAAATTTTCGTCAGTATTCGATATTTCCCTTAAGTAGAAATAAGAAGCTCGGGCTCATGTTTTCATTTTTTTCAGCTGTTTCACTTTTTTTCTTTAAAATCCTGAATACCTTGTTTCATGATTTTTGGTCCACTGTTTCCTTCAAAGTTCGTGATTCCCTTGTTTCATAATTTTTTAGTCATTGTTTCCTTAAAATCCTCAATTAATGGCTTCATAATTTTTTGCTTTGATTCCATTTGTGTGCCTGCCTGTTTGGAAGGGAATCATGTTTTTCTTCTGAAAATTGCTAACAATCACGTCAGGAGATATTTTTAGATAACACTATGTGGTGGCAGCATCTCTAATTTATTTTAACGAAAGATGTTGACATAGAATACATGAAATATTGGAGACCATGTGATTTTCTAATTTTTTTTTTGGCCTCATCAAGATAACTCTCTGTGCATTTTTTTTTGTTGAGAGAGTTTTGGAGCTTGAATTTTCAGAAGACAGATTAGATTGTAGATAAGACACTACCCAGAGGTTTCGCCCTCATTTTGTGAGGACTTTTTGATCTGGGGTTTGAGGTTTCCCATAGGCGCAAACCCCTATGGTTAATTACCTCTCTCAATAACGGAGAAAACTTTCGATTAAGACTGGTCATTGAGAATTGAATATTCGATATATAATAGCAACAAACATATGATTTTAATTTGTAAAATTCATCACTTGAAACTTAAAGTAGATGGTGGGGGAATGAAGACGAAACCCGATCAAGATCTCATGATTCTGTCATCCCGGGTTATCGTGGTCCCTGATCTACTTTGTCAAAGGAATTAGTCGACCCAATCTGACAAAAAGATTTTTGTCAGTAATCATGAGTTGCGTCATACAAAAAATTCTTATAGATATGGGGTGAATATTTGTTTAAGAGGACAAATTTAAGTCGACCTTAGCTAATAGAAAATTGTGTCAATCAAATATATTGTTATGATTCACAACTCAAAGGGTAAAAAATCATTGGGGAATGTATAGACTGTGATCGTGATCGTAATATAATGATGTCATTTGACGACAACCACCCAGTCAGAGAGTTCTGGTCATAACTGCTACTTTGTTGTGTCATTTATCGACTGAACCACACAGACAGAAGACTCGAGCCACATCCTTACTGATATATAATTTTTTGATTGTGAGTTTATTGATACATATGCTATGACATCCGTTATTTGTGAGTTTGTGTCAATTATAAATTTGTCTTTCTTAAAAAATTATTGCAAAGGGTGGATGGGATTTGTTTGGAGTTTTTTAAGTGATTGAATTTTAGCTTGAATTTTATTTGATTATTTGAAGACCCTGATTTAAAAGTTTGATCCCTCCGGATGAAATCTCCAATCAAAATGGCCATCATCGGGGACTTAGGCATTTAAAACTTTTATATTTAGTTTTGTTGGTTTAAGCTTTTCAAAGTGCAAGTCCTGTCAACTTCTATGCTTTTTATGTAGGATGATTAGAATAGGTGATTTGAACTTGTAAATTCCTATTTTAGGATTTGAAAGTTTATTAAATTTAATAGACTCGTCAACTCTAGTTCTTACAATGAGGAGGATCAGACTAGTTGGGTGAGACTTACGACCCCATCATATAGACAAGACGGTCTGATTAGCCGCGCAACATTCTCAAACCCAACATTTGAACATTCTATACGTTGGTTGGAACACATGCAGATGTTTAATTTATGTATTTGAGCTATTTTAATTGGAGTATTTGGTGTCTAAAGGCAATTCGTATGATTTTAAAACATGAATTAATTCAAATAGCTCACATACAAGTTTTCATTTTAAGCTTTAAAAAAAAATCACATTCTGTTTGCTTTTAAACATGTTGCGAATCCGGTAGCGGAATTGAAATATTAATTCCTCATGTTAGCATTTAAAAATTTGCATTTATGTCTTAAATTTAAGTTAAGCTCAACCCCTAATTTACAAAATTTTACATTCAACCTAAGTTTAACCTTTCAATTTATGACATTTCATATTCAATTTAAGCTAAGCCCTCAATCCTTATAATGTATGATATCTCATTTTTTAGTCAAGCTTACAAGTTTATTCCCCCCAAATTATAATATTGCATATTAAATTTAAGCTTAGCTCCTCCAATTTATGTATTAAACTAGACCACATAAACATTCATTTACATTGGGACATATATTTTTATTTGACCACATTCAAATATAATCGAATGTGAGACTTTTAACTCACAATTTGTATTTTTCTTTTATTTCTAGTTCGGCATCTTTTTAAGTCCAAATAATTCAATTTTTTATAACATTTGCAAGTTCAAAATCACCATAAATTTCGGCAGCCTCTCGGCGTCGTCCCCATTTAAGGGACTGCATCGGGTGCCTGTTTGCCCAACTATCTATAAGATGCATTGGTCAGTGTCGTGAGATACTACGACCGAAGAGAATCTTCTAACCTACCGGTCTATGGTCTATAAGGCACGAGTAAGTCTTCTATTATCCATTGAATCCACTTTTGCTAGCCAACCGAATGAACACAAATCTTGAAAATCATTTTGATGCTTTTCCCCTAACTGTAGAGTGGATTTCATTTCAATCAATAAAAGAAGCATCCATGCAAGGAAATACAATAATCAAACAAAAGCAGAGTTGCTCACTTCGTGCATCGTTTGTGACACTCTCTCACAACTCAAATAGTAAAAAATCATTGGGGAACATATGAGCTGCGACTGTGATCGTAATATAATGGTGCAATTTAGTGGCAACCACCCAGTTATAGGGCGCTGGTAGTAATAACTATTTTGTGGTATCATTTGACAGCAGAACCATACGACAGAGGACTCAGACCACGTCCTTACTGACATGTAATTATTTTGATTATGAATATATTGATATATTTGATATAACATTTGCTTTTTATGAGCTGAAATCATTTAGGAATTTGTTACCCTTGACAAATTATTGCAGAGGGTGTATAAAATTTGCTTCAAGTCTTTTAAGTGATTTATTTTTAACTTGAATATTTTGATTGATTATTTTGAAAATCTTGATTTAAAATATTGACTCATTTGGTTGAAATTCTTTTTATCAAAACAACCATCATTGGGGATTTAAGTATTTAAACTTTTATATTTGAAGTGGGGGCATTTAGTTTTGCTAGTTTAAGCTTTCATAGGTAGAAGGATTAGATTAGGTGAGTTAGACATGCAAATTTCTATTTTGGATTTAGACGTTTATTTTAAAATTACTAGACTCATTAAGTCCAGTCATTGCAAGGAAGATCAGATTAGTTGGGTGAGACTTATAAACCTATCCTATAGACAGGGCAGTCCGATTAGCTCGCATAACACTTTTAAACCTAGTATTTGAGTATCTAATACATTGGTTGGAGCACACGTGGGTTTAAAGTTTCATGTGTTTGAATATCTTTTATGTTTTAAAAACTTGCATAAATTTTAAGTCATGAATTTAATGTGGCAAATAAACTCAAGTGGAAACTTTTTAAGTCTTAAAAGTTGGTTCTCATTTCAATATACCACATTTGACTTGAGAGATTACAATGAGATTTTGAAATCATTGAGAACTTAAAGTAATTGTAAAAGTATATGATTTTAGGCTTTAAAAAGAGACTGTCTTCTACTCGCTAGCAGGTGTATTGTAAATCCGATGACAAAATTGAATATATAAGTAATAGTTTAATATTTAAGAATGACATTTATATTCTTGAATTTAATTTTAATTTATGCATTCATATTTGAGTCAATTTATCAGCCCCCTACGCTTAGACCTAATCAAGCTTTAGCCCCCAATTATGATATTTCATATGTAAGTCAAATTCAAGCCCCAATTTATAGAATTTGGCAGTCAGGTTTTGCCCCTTAAGTTTAGCTTCAAATAAGGTTAAGCTTCCCAATTCTTTCACATTTTAATCATTTGAAAATTGAAAGAATTTAAATTATTAAAATCATTTGTAAGTCTTTACATTTCAATTTCAAATATTAGTATTATTATTGCTGTTTAAAAATTCAAATAATTTAATTTTTGGCCATTTTAAAAGTTTACAAAGTCCAAATCTTAAATTATTTTACAAGTCCATGGTCATAAAAAATTTCGATAGCCTCCCGATGCCGTCCCCGGTTAGAGGGCTGCAACAGGGTACCTGCCTGCCCAACTGTCTATAAGACGCGCTGGTAAGTGTCGTGAGACAATGCGGCCGGAAGCCGAAAAGGATCTTCTTATCTACCGGTCTATGAGACACAAGTAGGTCTCACTTTCCCTCATTAATGGTTTCGGGTAGGAGCAGCCGAAAGAGAAGAAAGAGGCCTTCAGCGAGAATGAACGGTGGGATGAAGTGTGGCTGCGGGCTGCTCCTCAGAGGATTGCTTCATTTCCTGAATCCAGAACAGTTAACAGTGCCGTTGAGAAATTCTATTCATCAACACGAACCCTGCTCTTCAATCCGCACCACCACTGGTAACATCGTCGGTCGCTGGTGCAGCCTACATAAAGTTGCAGTAGCTTCATCATCGTAAGCCATGGGAAGCAGGAGAAGAGGCCTTTCCTTATCATCATAATTGGTACAGAGACCCAAAATTGCCATCTTTCTTCTCGTTCCACACTTCCTATCCGAAACCATGGAGGCAGATTGTTGACCCTTAAAAGAAATAATTAATTAAATTATAACAATTTTGAACTCCTTCATTCTTTCATGGCACTAACAAGCTCACCTTCTTTTGAGTCTTCAAAATTTAATTAAAAAGGGCAGCAAACCATACCATTCCACTCTCTCCTGACACCTCAAATTTTAGCCTCCAATCTGGCTACAAATTTCGCCTTTACATATCTGGATTGATAAGAACACTTTTAAAAGGTGAAATGCAACTTTTCATGCATGGGTAAGGTGGAATGTATGTAAAAATTGAAGCATACGTTCTAGGTATGTAAATACATTGGAATTAACTGGTATACATGTATATTTCTAATTTTTTTTTTCACGTTATCAGTTTGTTGGCGGCTTGGGTCTCTCATGGCAGCTATCTTTCGGCATATTGGTGCTTCTCTACTTCTATTCCCACTACTTCTTCGCCAGCGGCGCCGCGCACATCGGTGCAATGTTCACCGCTTTCTTGTCAGTAGCGAGCGCGCTCGGAACTCCTCCTCTCTTTGGGGCTATGGTGCTCTCCTTCTTCTCGAATCTCATGGGCGGTCTCACCCATTACGGCATCGGTTCGGCACCGGTGTTCTATGGTGCAAACTATGTCCCTCTCTCCAAATGGTGGGGCTATGGATTCCTCATCTCTGTGGTCAATATCATTATATGGCTTGGAATTGGTGGAGTTTGGTGGAAGACCATCGGTTTATGGTGAGTTTGTCTAATTCAAATTTCCATTTTGATTCAAATGTCGATATCACTGATTGTTCTTTGATTTCCAATGTCAACTCTAGTATCAGATTAATCTTCTTGGTTGACATTTTGTTGTTTAATGTAGTGAGAGTATATGATGTGCATTTTTTAAGGTGCATTTACATACATGCCATTCCATTCTTTTGTATTTACATGTCTAACACCTAAACCTTAACCTTTTTAATCTGAAATAAACCTTTTCTTGCATTGGCATGATAGTGGGTATGGAATTGTGTGATATATATGTATAAATGCTCCAAATGAAATATAAAAATTGATTTACAAATAGAGCATTAATCCGCTTATTATATAAATTTAAAATGGATGCCGAATTAGCATGCCATTCAAAATTTTAACATCGCATCCAAAATGTCTATCATCACCAATATTTAAAAAGTAAATTACATCTTTTCATTCATACTTATAGCATAAAGGTGTTAGAAGTTAAATATCAAATTTTGGTTGTTGTGCATGTAAAAGTCTGTTTGGAGCAGCTTATAAGTGCAGACAACATTTTTAAAACGCCGCCTCACTGTTTGGAAAACATGTTTCGGCAGTTTATCCGAAAATGCTGTTGGGTTTTTATACTAAACGCAGACAGCAGGTCGAACCTTGCGGGTCACGTTTCAGAATAAGCTGTTTATCTGGATAAACACCCCCAAACACATCCTTATCTCTCTAAAATATGTAGAAGATACCAAAATAATAATAATTATAATAATAAAGGGTCCAAGCCCAAAACAGACAAACTAAAAGAAGCCCGCATATAAGTGGATTCTGAGAATTGATTCAAAGAAGTAATTCGGGCCCATCACTAACCTCAAGGACTACTGCTTCTATCCGCCGTATAGCTGAACAGAAGCTGTCAAAATAATAATAATAATAGTAATAATAATGTCTCATGCTATTCCAATCAAAGTTTTAAATTAATCTGTTTTCGTGCTACATTTATTTTAAAATATATCCAACAATTTTGAGTGTATTTTGCGTGCGGACTTCTGACGTAGTTCTACGTGCCGCAGAGGTTATTCCTGAGTTATTTTCAGGTTATTTTTGGGTTATTTTCAATAATTCTCAAATAACCCGCGGTCTTTATTTCTGAGTTATTTGTGTTATTTCGGGATTATTGAAAATAACACAGAAATAACTTGAAAATAACACAAGAATAACTTGTATGGCACGTAGAGCTACGTCAGAGTCCGCACAGAAAAATTAGACAACAAACATTGTAAGTTTATGGCCGGTGATGAACCATACGGTCCGGACATAGGAGCGGTAGAAGAATAGGTGATTGTGTGACATCATCATAATGATGTGATGTGCAAATATTATTAGATATGTAAATCCATAAGAATTATTGAGGGTATGCATGTAAATCATTCGTATTACGGCATTTACGTACATGCCACATAATTCATATGTATTTACATTTATTCATACCATCCAAAATATCTATATCACCTCAAAATTACTTTTTTAACTTGTAAAATTTTATTTAAAATTCATTTTTATTTTATAATGCGATGTTTGTTTGATTTTTATGCTTCATAACATCAGCGGAACTCAAATTTGATATTCTTAATGAATCTCTCCTCTTTTTCTATCTCTCTCTCAACGAATCTCTCTTTTCATTCTCTATCTCTCTCTAATTGTGCGGGCATATTAGTGCTACGGGAGAACCAGGCATTTGACGAACTAATCTTGCCGCAGAGCAGTTAAAGCTCGGTCATGATCATTTGATTAATAAATAAAGAATCTTAAATAATTTGTTTGATTTAGTTATGTTCATAAATAATATCATTTCAAGTTGATAAATAAGCTCGTAAAGAAAATCAATTAACTTGATTACGGCTTGTCCATGAATAGTATCATTTAAATATTTATTTTAGGCTCAGCGATTGTTGTTTAATATGACTAATGTATATTCCTGAAAGAGTGCTCCCATAGAGCTCGAGTAAAGGCCGATTAAAGCTTGATTATAACACATTTTTTTTTGTTAAACGAACTACTCGTTAATAAGCTCGATAATCTCTGAATGAACAAGCACGAAACAATGCATTGTTAAACAAACTAGAGCTCGAACATAGTCTTGAGACCTAAGCTCGGTTCATTTAAAGCCATGGTACATATATAACATATTGGAAATTATCCTGCATCTTTCTAATTGACAAAATTTATTTTAATTTGTTATTATGCAAATATGTAAAGTGCCAAAATAGAGCACGACTATTTACATGATGTCATTTGAGTCTCAGAGTTTATAGAAATATCAAAATAGTTTCAAACTCTTTAAATTGGGGATAAACAATATTTTAGTAATTTGTCTCGCACTAATATATGGTTCATATATAATCATATGATTAGTCACTACAAATTGCGTATTAAAATAATCTTACATATTTAATTATTGTTTGGTCATGTAATATGATGTGCCAGATATTTTACCATAAATATAATATAAATTTTGTTTGAAATTAAGGAGGGATGTCATTGAATTAGTCTCATATGACAATTGCTAATATTACTTTTCTATTATACATGTATTGTAACAAATATAAATAATGAAAAGCTGCCATCAATTTATAAGCATTTTTACAATGTAGTCCAAAACTCTCCTTACCATGTCCTTGTTGGCCACTGAAGTATTAATGCGTATTGATTGATACACATGAAAATGACTCATGCCTACCTCTTGCACATGATTGCCCCTTTTATATATTAAATAAACGTCTCTCTCTCTCTCTCACTCTCTCACATCCAACATTTAAAGATTGTTTGGTGGATCACGAAATGTCAAATTTTTAGCACGAATCTCAAGGAGATCAAACGGTAAAAAACAGAGGCATACAAATGAAGTTCCACAATACAAAAAACATTCTTCACCGACGAATAGTCGATCGACTTTACGATAGAATCGACTGAGATGAGGTTCGATCGATGGGTGCTTACGATCGACGAGGGCATATAGTGAGAGAACGAAATCAAATGAACGTGCATTTTTGGTCAAGCAACTGAATTTCTATAAAAAAAACATGGTTGACCTCTTAAGTCAACCGATCCAAGCGTCTGGCGGTTGACTAACACAGCCGCTCGATCTTGACTTTGGACAATC